GGCCGACTCCACTGGCTGCAGGCTGCAGGGAGAGTAAGGTGAGTTTAAAAATCTGAGTCCCCAGCCAGAGGCAGAGGAGTTTGAATTTTCAAGCCCCCCCCCCTGTTCTGGAGCCCTAAGGCAGATGCTTGTGCCACCTTATGGACACGCCGGCCCTGTTTGACGCCAGAATTCATAGCATACTGGCACCAGACCGTCAAAAACAATGTGCCCCCCAGTGAGAACCTGTCCTCTCCTTAGTCTTTTTTTTCTGACTTTCATTGGCATTGCTACAGCGGGGAAAGGGTGACAACTGCCACCCCCATATCATGCCCCCCCCCCAAATCTACTCATGTAGATCGAGACCTGGTAGCATGGGATCTCCCTGCCAGATCAATTTTTTTGTCTTATTACTATTACTTCCTTCACTCACTACAGCCTTTATTTACACCTATAGCCCCCATCCCTTTGCATCCCTATATACTCTGCACCCACTATAGCTCCTACCTCCTGCAAGCACTACAGCCCCCAGCCCCCCTAATCTTACTACAGCCTCTATTATCCCTATAGCCTACACCCCACCTACACCCACGACAGCCCCATTACCCCCTCTACCCACTACAGATCATGTCTCTCTTACACCCTCTACATGCCCTACCCTCTGCACCCACTACAGCCCCTGTTACCTCCTATGTACACTACAGCCCCTACTTCCTCCTGCACCAATTACACCCTATATTACCCAGTATAGTCCCACTCCCCCTGCACCCACTACAGTCCCTATCTCCTCTACAGCCACTACAGCCCCTATTATTCCCTATATTCACTATAGCCTCTATTAACCCCTGTAGCCCCCAACCCATTGCACCCACTACAGTCCCTATCTCCCCTGCAACCACTACAGCCCTGCATGCACTACCCTGCATGCTTTACAGCTCCTATTACCTCCTGCACCCAATACAGTCCCTATCTGCTCTGCAGCCATTACAGCCACTATTATTCCCTATATTCAGTACATCCTCTATTACCCCCTGTAGCCCCCAACCTCTTGCACCCATTACAGTCCCTATCTCCCCTGAAACCCCTACAGCCCTACATGCACTACCCTGCATGCACTACAGCTCCTATTAGCACCCACTACAGTCCCTATCGCACCTGCAACAACTACACCTCCTGTATAATTACAGCCCCTATTATCCCTTGCACCCACATCACCCCCTGAACTGCATCCATTATAGCAGCTATTATACCCTGCAGGCTCTACAGACTATATGACCCCTTGCACTTACTACAGCACCATCTGTTGCATTCACTAGAGCTCCTATTACCCTCTGCACCCACTACAGCCCTATGCCCCTGCACCCACTACAGCCCCTAACCCTCGATCATAGGCACTACAGCCCTGCAACCATTACTAATATTATTTAGTGGTGAAAATTATTAGTGCCCCAGTTTTCACTGTGGTATCTGTGCCCCCTTAATGTATTGTTCCTAGAGTCACCACTGATGACTTCACTTCCCATGCCAGGCATGAGTTTTAGCTTTTTGTACAGAAGGGGTTACAACAACCAAAATTTGTTTTTTAACAGTGTTTAATTTCTTGTTCTTTAAAATTGGCAGTAGACTCTTTTTTTTTTTAACTGCACTTCCAGCATTTTCATTAATTGCGTCTACTGTTTTAATTTCATATTATACAAATTTACAAATAGTTTCAATGTAATGATGGGAACAAGCCCCCAAAGCTTCCTCACATTTTTTTATAAAGTCTTCATTTTTAATATTAGGGTCATGACTGTTCGAAACTCTTATTCCCTTAGGAAACATATTCTTCATGTAAGTCTCTAGGGATGATATTTTGCATCGTGTCCTAATCTGTTGTTTGAAAAGTTCAGTCAACTCATTGAATCCTGAAGGCTATGCTATATTTTAATTAGTACAAGAACTCTGGCTCATTGGACTCTGCATTCTGGCACCAAGTCTTGGAATCTTTAAAGGAATACTATAGTTTCAGGAATACAAACGTATTCCTGACACTGTTGTGATCAACTAACTATTTATCTCCCCAGCTCCCCTTAGATAGCATAGGATAGCTAGACGAGTTTAATTGCTTTTTTTCCGTGCTGTGCCAATCTCCATGGCTGAAATCTTCAATCCATTTGGAGCCTATTGCGTATGCGTAGCAAAAGGCTGCACATGCGCCAATCAGCATCTCCTCTTAGAGATGCATTGAATCAGTATATCTCTATGGGTAATATTCATGAACTCTACTGGCAGTTATAGGCAGCAATGTAAACACTGCATTTTCTCAAAAAAAAGTGTGTTTACAGTGCTAAGGCTGCAGGTACGTGCTATAGACAACAGAACCACTACATTAAAGCAGTAGGGGTGCTAATGACTATAGTGTCTTTTTAATTGTTGAAAGAATTCCAGCCATTATTAATAATACTCTATAATCTCACATATAGGGTAAGACAGTAAAACAAAAAGTGTATTTAAACACATGAATAAAATAACTGCACTTATTATTAGACTTTAAAAGGGGATTAATCGTGTAACATAATGCAAAACTGAAAATATATCCATTCAGGTGGATCTAAAAAAAGGGACCAAATGAAAAGAAGAATAAAAAACTCACAAAACATCTGTCTCTCTACATTTTGATAATCATTAATAAATACAAGGGACTGGAATGATCACCATGTATAATGTACCTGTTTCAGAACGGCCACAGTTAGGCATAAGTAAATGTACATTTTTCACACACTTGTTTGCGATTTCAACAGTTTTGAATTTAGCAAATAAAGCTATGAGTTTCTAGCAAATGGAGTTATATTTGGCTATAGTTCAAATGCTCAAGTTAATTTTTAAAGTCCCTCATTCTTGCATAGACTGTTTAGCTTCAATACAATTGCTATTTTACAGTAGTGCAATTGATAAATGAGTGTCCTTTTTCATTTTGGAATATGATAGTAACAGATTGTTATGGTTGTATATAGTCGCTGACCCTTAAAGGGACACTCCAGTGCCAGGAAAACAATCCGTTTTCCTGGCACTGCAGATCCCCTCTCCCTCCCACCCCCACCCCCATCCCAGGTTGCTGAAGGGGTAAAACCCATTCAGTGACTTACCTGCATCCAGCCCCAATGTCCCTTGGCGCTGGTTCAGGGTCCGCCCACGCTCCTCCCCCGCCGTCATTTCAGTGCTTTCCTATGGGGATTTCAGCGAAGCTGGAGGTCCTCACATAGCGTGAGGACGTCCAGCAACGCTATAGCACAGAAAATCTGTGCTATAAACCCGGAAGTGTCCTCTAGTGGCTGTCTAATAGACAGCCACTAGAGGAGGAGTTAACCCTGCAATGTAAATATTGCAGTTTATGAAAACTGCAATATTTACAGTTGCAGGGTTAAGGGTAGTGGGAGTTGGCACCCAGACCACTCCAATGGGCAGAAGTGGTCTGGGTGCCTGGAGTGTCCCTTTAATAGATTAAAGGGACACTCCAGACCCCTAAAGCACTTTAGCTATCTGAAAAGCATTATGCGCGAAGAGTGTGTCCTATTTTTTTCATTTTGCAAAAAGTGCAGAATTCAATAGAAATTGACACTTTTATAAATAAACCTGGTTACACTCCCCTAGTTTGGTTACCTCTGTTAAACTAAATCCAAGAGGTAGTGATTGTTCAAAGCACCTGCCTTGCAAAGAATTCTGATTGAGCTGAATTAGGAAGTCCATGATTGGACAGTCACAGAAAGTCTGGGCAGGTTTCCAAAGGGTAGGCTTGCAAATGCAGCAGACAAGAGAACTGCAGGTTTTGCAAGCTGACTTTAGATTATACCCCAAATGAAAAAAATAATTTTTGGTATATATAATTTAAATTTATTTTGTAGGCAGTGGAATGTCCCTTTAAAACAAAACAAAACAAAACAAAACAAACAGTATAACAGAGAAAAGAAGGTACAATAAGGATTGTTAATTTTTCCTTCTTCAATTCTACCTGTAAGTCTATTTGGATATGTCTTCACTCTTCCTTTGATGTAGCAGTATAAGAAAGGCGAAGAATTTGAGACTGTCTGTACATCTCAGTTACGAATTCTGTACATCTCAGTTAAGAATTATTTAACACAAACAGTATAACAGTAAAAAAGGTACAGTAAGGCTTGTTAGTTTTACTTTGTTGCTGTTCCCCACCTCTCCTTCTGTCTAAGGCAAGCACTGCTCTTCACATCTGCCTGAAGGTCAGTTTGGATATCTCTTCACTCTGCCTTTGATGTATCAGTATTTTAAAAGCAACAAATTTGAGACTGTCTTGAGACAACATCTCAGTTGGCAGCCCCAACCCCTCTCTACACATACAGCTCAAAAAGATGAAAGTATCATTGCCCTTTCTTAATGGCCTCAATTCTATACCAACGGCCAGTTCAGGAGAAAAGTCTAGCTGCAAAGTGCAATGTGTATCCTTACTCGGATAAAAAGTGCTATCGGCTAAACATGTTGAATTGGTCAAAACCATCAAGTCTGGTATTTTTTTTTTACAAATTGGCTTAGTTTAGGATTTAAACCATAAAAAGAAAGTGTGTACCAGTGGTGAGTGTTCAGCTAGAACATGTTACTTATTTCTATAGATACAATGCAATAAGATTCTATCCTGAAAGGCGATCATAACCTTTAAACGGAAATTTCATTTATTCTATTTCCCTATGTAAATGGGTAGTGCAGTACAGCAGTGCTTCCTAACTCTTGGGTGCAGACACTTGTTGGAACGGACACATATTAGTCATATCCCAAAGTAAATGCTCAAAATACAATGCTTACTGTAGCAATCCTGTTACAAGGTAAACATGAACCATGGTGCTCCCCTAAATAGACAATCCCCCGAATGTCAAATGCATGAATATCAGTAGACAAAAGGATGCACACAAACTATTACTAGTTTATATAAAGAATGATCTTTATTACTTAAGGAGTCAATGCATAAATAATAGTCACAAAAGATAAATAACAAAAATGATTTTTTTTACATGTGTCTAGCTCTTTTTTCACATTTTTGTTATTACGTCTGTATTGATAGAGCATAGGCAACAGAAGCAATACAATAAGCTGTGAACAGAACAATCTGCCCCAATTCCAGCACCATAAGAACTTAATTTCAGTGAAGTTTTTGCAAGATCTGGAGTTACCATGTGCAGTTAAAATGTTAAACAGATTACCAGAGCCGCCATCAGAAATTTTGGGGCCCCTGACAAAGCACAAGCTCTCCCCCCACCTCTGCGTGAGAGATACAGCAACCCCGGACAGATGTTTTGGCCTTCTTTGGGCCTTGTCAGTGAGGTGTAGATGATACCCCTCTAGGCACATTGATGTTGATGTTCACGTCTGGATTAACCTTTTAACTTGAGAAGTTGGTGCAACAAAAGCAAAGAATGTGAGAACTCTGAGAATGGACAAAAGCTTAGAGGAACTCAATAGCTTGCCCTTCTGTAAATGTCTGCTCAGGTCTCAATATATAGTACGTATGGTTTAACACAGCAAGTTAAAGGGACACTATAGTCACCAGCTACAGCTTAATGTAGTTGTTCTGGTGAGTATAATCATTATATGTAGGAATTTTCATGCAAACACTACATTTACATTTTACATTTCCCCTAGGGACACCTCCAAGTGGCCACTCCTCAGATGGCAACTGTGTTTGTGTTCCTGACCATATTCCTTTAAGACAGTGTCTCAGAACTCCAGACCCCCTAACAACTTCATTAAGATAAAGTTGTTGGGCTGTAGTGGCCATTTATTTTTCTTAAAGGATCCAAATAAATCTCTAAGGAACTCCCCCTTGATTAACTAAATGAAACGGTACCGTTTATTTATTTATTTTTAATCTAAAATGAAAAATCATGCTGTCTTTTTTACCACCACAATCACTAAAACTAGAACACCCAGGATAATCTGTGCTCATAATATTCTTTAAATTTCATTTATTACTAACTTACAATTCATATTTTTCTTATAACATATTTTTTCAGATAGTCACTGGAGAGATACTTGTGAGGCATAAATGGATAGATGGATAGACATGCGTTCAATTAATATGTGGTGTCATTAATTTTAATAAACATTGGTATGTAATTCTGGTCTGAAAATTGCTTCAGTTACAGTCATGAGAGCCTTAGAGACATTCTGTGTTGTTTATGGTAATGGTAAAAATCCAATCATTACAAAAACAAGATTAAAAATGGGATATGTCGCTCTTTTGGTGCATGCAAGACAGAGCTGGAAACTGATTTTGACAGGTGTGTAATATTAGCAGAATAGTGGAGAGGATCTGAATCATTAATAGATAACAGCAATGCAAACTGCTGTATGATAAGATACTTTAATTCTAACCAAGTCTACAATTTTAAAAGTTAGGTAGGTTGTAGGTTAAGTTGTTTATTAAAATATCTGAAAAGATGCACATCACGTGTTAAATATACAAATCCACCCCTCTTTTCTTTTATTGCAAATATTTAATTTCTTCAATCATTTTACTGGGATGGGTGAAAAGATAGATATTGTTGAGATTAAAGACCTTTGATCCTCTGTTCAGATATGGTCTATACCAAGCCTGTCAAAATCACGGGGCGCGGGCTGCATGCGGCCCACAAGGACCATCTTTGTGGCCCAGCGATCCACGAGTACATGCTTGTGTTTAAGCAGAGTAGGCACCTGCTTTCCCCACATTGCAGGTGCCTACTCTGCTAACACTTACCCGGCCATGGAGGAAGGGACAGAGGATGCAGCAAAGGAGCTCAGCCTTCCTGCTCCTCACTGCTCCCTCCCGCGCGCCATCTGAAGTGAAACCGGGCGCCGGAATATGATGTCATATCCCGGCACCCGTCATCACTAAACCGCGCAAGGGAGCAATGAGGAGAGGCCCCACATCGGCTCCATAAGGTAAGGAGAAATAAAAAAAAGTATGTGTGTACAAGAGTGTGTGTCTGTTAGTGTGTGTCTGTCTGTCTGTCAGTGAGTATGTGTGTGTGTGTCAGTCAGTGAGTATGTGTGTCTGTCAGTGTGTGTGTCTGTGCGTATGTGTGTGTCTGTGCGCATGTGTGTGTCTGTCAGCAAGTATGTGTGTGTCTGTCAGTGAGTGTGTGTCTGTATGTGTGTGTGTCTGTGCGCATGTGTGTGTCTGTCAGTGTGTCTGTGCGCATGTGTGTGTGTGTGTCTATGTGTGTCTGTCAGCAAATATGTGTGTGTCTGTCAGTGAGTGTGTGTGTGTCTGTATGTGTGTGTGTCTGTCTGTGAGTATGTGTGTGTCAGTATGTGTGTGTCTGTCAGTGAATATGTTTGTGTGTGAGTGGGAGGATCAGATTTGGCACAAGGTGCTCTGGTTTAGTAGAGGGGGTGCTGTGGTTTAGTAGAGGGGGGAGCTGTTTTTTTTTTATCCTGTACTTTTTAAAATAAACCTAAGTTTCTATGAAAATTTATGGTATTTTTTTTTTTTTTGCTGCCCACATAAACTTAAACCTTGTTTATGTGGCCCGATCCAGACTTTAAGTTTGACATGCTTGGTGTACACCATCCCCCCCAAAAAAATTGTCCGCTTCTAGCTCAAAAACCCTATGGCGGACCGGGATCCCCCGAACCCCCAAAACAAACTGGGAAACCCGCCTCTTTAACTTGCGGCGGCAACGCTCCATGGCACTCTGGCTCCGGGCGCCCCGTCAATAGTTACGGGCAAAGACCTCTGACCAGACCAAGCTCACGTTGGGGAACAAAACCAACAAGTCCCGCTTCACCGCCAAAATCAAATCCCAAATGGGCACCGAACCCAGATCTTTTCCCCCACAGGTGGATCACCAGGACACTCGGCACCCCCAGGAGATGGGACAGCTGTACCACCTCAGGGAGGAGCCGAACCCACCTCATACCCATTGTACCGAGCCATCGAACCTCTGCTTCAGAAGGCGTGAAACCCAACCGCTCGCCTCCAGGCCGAACCGCCACACGCTGCCCAGCCCAGTAAACATACGAGTGTCCGATGATCCAAATCCTAGGGGGAAACGAATCTGCAGAAACATTACATCAGTAAACCAGCCGGGCGAACATAAGAAACATAACGTCTCGATTCCCACCTCCCAATTCTCTGAACCACCTGCGCCGGCATGCCAAGTCTAGAGGCCTCGGTAGCCGCCCCAATATGGAATGAATGGCCCCCAAACTCCCTGCTATCTATTCCCATGGCTTCCAGCCCCAAATGACACACTCTAATAAACTGGAAATGGGAAAGGAAACTACCATCCACATGGACCAGGAGGGGTAGCGCGGGAGAAGGGCGCAAGGCACAATACTCCCCAAAGGACCAAACAGGACAAATGCCGGAACCCGGCACGGCCCTAAATCGGACCCATTTTCCCCTCCCCAAGTCTTAGAGCGGCGAATCCTGAACGAGATCCGATCAGCAGTGCACGCAACGTCCCCAAATAGTACCCCCCCCCCACCTGCTGCCGACTGGGGCACACCAGCTCCCCACTCCGCATGGCACCAAAGAATACCAGGGAAAAGGCCAGGCAAAAGAGCCAAACCTCGAATTCTGAATGGCAAACCCTGTGCAACAACTCACACAGATTAGTTAGGAGAGTGCTCGAGACAGGACGCCTTGAGTCTTATGAAGAAACCCTCCCCCGCTTCAAACCTTTTAGGACCTGACGTACTATAAATGCTTTGGTAGGGTCATCCCAACCCCGCAACTTAAACAGGAAGCTGAGCCCGAGCCAGACGCGCAGAAATTGGCGAGGGGGACAACCTCGCAGTCTCCCGGTCCCCCAGGAGAAGAACCAGACCCTGCAGACGAGTGGTTGAGTCCTGGAACCCCCGTGGGACATCTCCCACCCGTCCCATTCCCCCCAAACCTTGTTATAGCGGTCCCATGGGGCCGCGGAGACCATCCCACGGACCAACTCCATTAGTCTGTCACACCCAATGTCCACGGGCACGAGACACCCTCCAATTCGGCTTGCGGAGCCACTGCCCGAAACACATCCCACTGTGAACGAGAGAGAGCATTGGAGTAGAAATATATGTTAGAGAGAATTTTGTTGGGTGTTCAAAAGATGTTTCTGATGTACTTAAGCAGTATTGGGTATGTTTAAAGTTGCGAGTTGCTAATTATGGTCAAGTTTAGTATAAAGCAGCCATCTCACTTGCACTTATCCAAAAACCAGATTCCACTCTAAAAGTCAGTCTTCTAATAAATCCCGCACTGGTTTTGTAATCATTTAGGATATTCATTTAAATTTGTATCATTTAAATTCACAAACTATACATTTTAGAGCGGAATATTCTCCTTGGATTTCTTATTCTTTCTTAAATCTAAAACATTTCTTTCATTTTCATAACTAATTATTTTTAAAAAGGGGCTGTTGACCTTTCCTTTTTTGTGTAACTGATGTTGTTCCTCTTAGTAAAGAATAATGAAGGTCATACTAATTTTCAGGAAAAGAAGAAGATTTTATGAAAAATTAATAATGGGAAAAACTTGCTTCACTGTAGACAATGCAATCTTATATCTGGATATCAGACAAGCTGTTCTACATCTTTTCAGAGAACTCTTGTATTTTGTCTAACTCATTAATTATTAAGTCTATTATTGCATTAATCTCTTTCTCTCTTGCAGAGTGAATTAACCACCATCAATTGACTTTTGGAAGGATATTTAACTGTTAATGTTAAATCACAAGGTCTTTTCTTTTTTGTTTACCGGCTACTATTTATAATTTTTGTAACATCATTTGACTCTCATATTAAGTATATTGGATGATGGGTATCAGAATGCATGGTTAATAAATATGCATGGTCATTTTACACCATTTAGGGTTGCAGTAAGCCTGCTTGGAATGCTTTACCTCTCAGACATTGTTGATATAATGCAGCTAAAAGCCATTGCTTTTTCTGTTAGAGGACTGTAGGACTATGAAGATGTGATGTTGATACCACCCTCTCTCACTCACAGAATTATGAGTGAAGGAAGGAGCCAACAGACGTCAATACATACCAACAACAGCACCAAAAATATGTTGCCTGTTCAGTGAGCAAAGAATGCTGTCCTTCAAGGTGAGTATACCCTGGAAAGCAAACAGTCAAATATTATAAAAAAAATAAATTCCTGGTAATTAGAGTGACCAGTGTTAATATATTAAAGAAAAGAGAACATTTTAGACAGACTGTTAGAGTAATAAGAGACAGGGTAGAGTCAAGGTTTTAAGAACAACTCAAAGTTAGTGAGCAAAGCCAAAATAGAGGCAGGACAGAAGTAAGAATAAACGAGAACAGACTGAATCAAAACAAGTAACATCAATCACTGTCAAATACCACACAGGGTAAGGAGCAAACTGAATCATGGTCTTAAATAATGCCATTGGCTAGCATCAAGGTGACATCTATATGTATGG